AAAAATGTGAGTGTGCAATGTGGCCAAGTTTTAAATTTATAAAAGCCACTACTCCATCTAACTAAAAATATAGCTAGGGTGAGTAGGGATCGTCCCAATGGATTGTGGGTGTGTTTGCAATGGAAATAATATATAGGGTTAGTAGGTCGAGTGATCAAAAGATGGTTTGTTTGGTTGATTAAGCTACAATGCAATTGAAATTAAAGCAAGTAAAAGGTAACAATTTAGAAAGTAGGGGAAAAGATATAGAGGAGAGGACTTGGGGTACTAGAGCTCACCCCTAAGCTTGACTTCACTAGACACTAGCAATTGTATATCAATGGGGAAATTGAATTATAAATTTTGTGTGTGTGTGACATTAATTGAAACTAGGCATGGATGGTGAATAAGTATAAATTGTCTAGCCAATTCAAATGAAAAGCACAACCTATCAAATGAGAGCAAAATCCATTCAATGAAACCACAATTTATGCACACACAACTATCTAGACACATACACCTTTTGCATTCATAAGTATGGAACACCAAGGAACAAGAATAGATTGTCCACCTATCTATGAATCTAAAGGAACTACACTACATCTACACTAAAGACATGGAAATTAAACTAAGTATGCTAAAGGTGTGGTACAATCCATTAAGAAACAAGTGTGAACCATCAAATAAATTATAAGAGTGTTTGATTAAGCACTATGTTTTGACCATCTCTAGATTAACTTCATCCATACACAGACATGCATAAACTCCACTAAATCTAGAGAAAAACACATGAATCATTCATTCTAGCATACATAGACGTATGGTTAGAAATAGATAATCAATTGAAAGCATTAATCCATACACATCAAGTAGAAACCACAAGATATATATATAAATCCAAGATCAAAACATTTATTACAAGCAAATCCCCAAAAATATACAAAGCACTAGGTCTAGGAAGCAAACTTAGGGGCTACTCTAGCCCCAAGTAGATGTCTAGCCACTAATTAAAGTAGTCATCTAACCCTTAAGGGCTATCTCCATGGTAGGAATGACCTCCTTCTGGATGGAAACCCTAGAAGAATGGAAGAACTCCCAAAGATGTGTAAAGCTTTCTAGTCTCTAGCCTCCTCTTCAAGATATGAGATGTGTAAGTTATGATGAATGTTTTTCTTAAAATGGCTCAAAATCCTTATATAGGAGGCTCAAGTGTCATACCCAATGGTCTGGATTCATGCACTAGGGCCCTTGCAATGATTGCACCACGAGCCAACTTTTAATGAGCTGGAATTTGTTTTAATTCAGACTTGAGGAGGTTCAATCGATCAAACTGTTGTGAAATCGATCGAACTTAGATGAGATCCATCAAATGCTGCAGAGATCGATCATCATTGGTGGCACCTTTTTGAATAAAGACAAATCTCTGAGATATTTTGGGATATTTTGGGAAAAAGACAAGAGTGGTAGGTGGGATAGTAGGTGTGGATAAGATTGAATAATTTTGATCGATTTGAGAAAGGTTGGATCGATCGAAGATGGTGAGATCTTTTGGATAAGGACAATTGCTTGGATCCATCTTGATGAGGCTAGATCAATCTTGCTCTGATCGATTGAAGGAATGTTGAGATCGATCGAACTTGCTATTTCTCCACACTTTGCTTCCACTTTGCTCCTTTCTTCCATTCAGCTTGAGATAGCTTCTTTAAAGTTCTTATTTGGCTGAATTAACTTATTTTTTGGATAAGTGCCTGAAAAGGGCAATAACACGAAATTAGTCTAAGGTAAAAAATAAGATACATAAAAGTCCTAGAATGCTGAAGCTTAAGGGGTTTAAATGCGCACTTTGTAGTGCTCATCAGTACACAAACACATATATCACTCTCTTGATGTCACCTTTCATATGCATAACCCCTTTTATGGTTCTAACACTATCTTTTAGGAGACTTCTACTATCAATCAAGAGGCTTCTCCTCTGACTCATCCTCTTCCTATTTTCAAGAAGAGTCTTCTCTTTTGGTTTCCTTACCCCCTTTGCAGGCCTACTCATGCTGCCCTTGTGCTTTACCTCCACTGCCTTCATCCTCCTTAGATTTAAGTTCAGATAGATTTCTCTCTTATTTACATTACCCTGACCTTGTTCCTGTTCCTAAGTCTCAATATCCTACTCTGGACCGCAAACTTTCTGCTCGATTTGGATTCGCTTGTAGTACTGATCATCCTATTTTGCAGTATATCTCTTATGATGGTCTTTCAGGGTCTTACCGAGCCTTTCTAGGAAAACTTGATTCCATTTTTATTCCTAAAAAGTTGTCTAAGGCTTTCCGAAATCCGAATTGGATGTCTGCTACGAAGGTAGAAATAGATGTTTCGCAACATAGTGAAACATGGGAACTTGTATCTCTCTCTCCTAGTGAAAAAACTATTGGTTTCAAATGGCTATTCAGTGTTAAATATCTGGCTAATGGCTTTCTTGATCAGTATAAAGCCCATTTGGTGGGCAAAGGGTTTACTCAAATTCCTAGTAAAGACTTTAATGATACCTTTGCTCTAATGGTTAAATTGACCTCAGTTCGTTTGCTTATCTCCCTAGTTGCCTCCCATAATTGACCTCTTCATCAGCTTGATGTGAAGAATACTTTCCTTAAGTGATCTTCTTAAGACTATATACATGGATCCTCCATTGGGTTTTTGGGCTGAGGGGAGTATGGTTGAAAGGTTTGTCGATTGCAGAAGTCTTTGTAGGGATTAAAACAATTTCCCAGAGATTGGTTCAGCTGCTTCAGTGATGTAATTATATCTATAGAGTTTGTTAGATGCCATTCTAACCAGACATGGTTTATCTACCGTTCCTCTACTGGTCGATGTATTATTCTATTTGTTTATGTTGATGATATCATCATTACTGGCAATGACATCCCTGGGATTGCTAAAGTAAAGCTTGAATTGGCTAAAAAATTTGATGTGAAAGACCATGAGCAGCTAAGATATTTCTTGGGAATTAAGGTTGCTAGATCTGAGTAGGGTATCTCTTTATCACAAAGGAAGTATGTCTTCAATCTTTTTCGAGACACGGGCATGCTTGGGTATAAAACTGCTTCCACTCCTTTGGATCCTAATCTGAAGATCTCGGCTGAGTTTGGAGATTTCCTTTCTGACCCCTCGCAGTATCAGCGCTTGCTAGAAAGATTGATTTATCTTACCAACACCCGTCCTGATTTGGCTTTTGTGGTTAGTGTTGTGAGCCAGTTTATGCATGCTCCTCGTACAGCTCATATGGATGCGGTAAATCATATTCTTCGATATCTTAAGTCATGTCTTGGACTTAGATTATTCTATTCTTCTAGCAAACAAGTTGGGCTATCCTATTTTAGTGATACAGACTATGCTGTCCAAGACTGACAGACGTTCCACATCTGGTTTCTATACTTTTTATGGAGACCATCTTATATCCTGGAAACATAAAAAATAACTTGTAGTTTCGAGATTTACAACAGAGGCTGAGTATCGTGCCATGGCTTAAGGTTATTGTGAGATTCTCTAGCTTCGATCTTTCTTAGAGGAACTAGGGCAACACAATAAACTGTCCTCAGACTTGTTTTGTGATAATAAGTTAGCCATCATGCTTGCTTCAGATTCTATTCTTCATGAGAGGACTAAACATATCGAGGTGGACATTCATTTTATCAGAGAGAAAGTTCGTTCAGGAATTATCAAGCCGTGCTTTGTTTGTTCCTCTAATCAGTCGGCCAATGTGTTCACCAAATCTGTTGGTCCATCTTTGTTTCATTCCTCGATTACCAAGCTGGGCTTGATTGATATCTTCATTCCATCTAGAAGGGGAGTGTTAAAATACCTTTTTTATTTTTATTTTTATTTTTATTAGCTATTTTTAGCCTTTTATTAGGTATTTTATGTAAGATTCCTATAATCATGGAATCACGTAGATAAGACCCCCATAATAATGGGATCCTGTACATAAAATCCCCATCTTTCTTTGATTTGGTTTCCTTTCTTTGTACCTTATTCTTGTATATAAATATAGATCTTGGCTCTTGGTTTGAGTAAGCCAAAACCCAAACCTTCTTCTTTTGTCTCTATTCTCGTTCCTTGACAGTAATTTGTTTCCCTTGGCAAGAAGCACGCACCCATTTACTCCTATGGGGACTTGAACCCTCACCATCCACTTTGGGAGATAGATGAGATACCACTAGGCGACATTTACCCCTATGGGGACTTAAACCCTCACCATCCACTTTGGGAGGTAGATGAGATACCACTAGGCTACAAGATCGTTGGTTGTCTAATAGTAATTTATGAATTAAATTTAGTAGTAATAAACCTAAAGACTAAAACAGTAAATATAAAACAATTCCCATGTTCTTTTATTAAAATTATTCTATTAGTAACTAGTTGTTTTGGATAGTAAGGCAAATAAACGGAGTTAATCTAATCTATAAGTTCTTAAACTTATTTCTTTGTGGGCTTAGTTCAAGCTTGTGGTTTGGCTTAACATATTTGCTTATGAAAAATATTAATTTTATAGTAATTCTTCTTTCATCAACAATAACGAGTATGTAACTTTTAAAATAACAAAAAGAAAAACTATTAGGAATTTTCATATTAACCTAATGAGCTTTCATATTAACCTAATGAGTTTAACTTACCATTGTTCAACCTCAAGTTCATAATTAATACTTAATACTCAAATTCGACTATCTCACATGATGAACAAACAATATTCAAGTTTTAGAAAAGCTAAGTCCAAAATAATAATGTTCATGAATAACTCGAGTCATATCCATGGATGACATTTATATATTGTTATTCTTATTGTTATGATCATGATTGATTGTTATATTGCATAGTTAATACTTGCTAAAGGTAGATTGTAAAAGTTGTTATAGCATCAGCATAGAGAAGTGCAGCATGCATGCTTACTTGCATATTATTTCCACCGCTACTTTCATATATATATATATATATATATGAATATCTAAAACTCAAAATTTATTGAATGTCAGGGGATAATTGTCACTGGAGTTGGATTCTGGTTGCGAGTTTGGATCATAGGCAAGCAAGGCCCTGTTTTTGTTGCTATGTTCACTCCATTAGCATTTATCATAATAGCCATCTTTTCAGCATTCTTGTGGAATGAGATCCTTCATTGGGGAAGGTTTAAATGCTTTCTCTTATGCTATTATATATGTGTTTGTGTGTGTGTGTGTGTGTGTGTGCATACTTACATTCTTTAACATTGATGAAAATTATTATTATATTGGTAACAGTGTTGGTGGGATTATATTGCTAATTGGAGGCCTCTACATCGTTTTGTGGGGAAAGAACAAAGAAGGGAAAAATAAAACAAATGAACAAAGATCAATTGTCAAAGAGGAAACCACACTAGAGAGCATTACTCGTCAATGATTAGTCGTGCACTGGCTAAATGGGTTTAATGATAATATGAACATAATACTAATGTATTCAAAAAGACAAAAGACATCTCCTAACAATGTGGCTTGTAGTTAAGAAACATTTAGCTTGTAACAGTTTAATAGTTGTTTTTTTTTTTTTTTTTTTTTCTTCCCATTTTTGATTTCATACAAAAGCAGAAGCAATGTTTCTATTATGTTATAATTTATCCAAAATATAAAATTATTTGGTTAAATTTATTGCACAATGTTTTAAAGTAAATGAGGAAAAAAAACCAATAAAATTGTATGGATGATTGTAAAAAAAGATCGACTTTACATTATATTGGGTTTTTTTTTAACAAGGATCAATTTCTAATTGTTCAACTATAATAGCAATAATAAGCAAAAATATATTTTCTTACTTAAACATTTAACTCTTTTTCTGAAGCAGGTCTATTACTATGGTTTGTATTTAGTGAAGTTAGATTTGATCGACACGATTTAAGAAATTTGATGTTTTTCGCTTCAAATAGGCATGTGGTTGAATCGTGTTGCTTCTAGTTCTACTGATTAATTGATGTTCTAACCAAAAAGCTTGTCCAAAAGTTAAATTAGGTTGGAAACTAGGGACAAAATAAAACAAATGTTATCAAATATGTTTTTCATATTTGTTTGTGTTTTTCTATCAATTTGAAAATAAATATAAAAAGCAAAAGTAGTTACCAAACAAACCCAAATCTATTGCATTTTTCTTTAAATTTAACCAGTGTTGTGTTTTGATGGAAAAATAATGGAGAAGGAACGAAAAACTTATGCTTCGTTCATTAGGGAGGAAGGAAGAGGGGTGTAGAGAAGATTAGAAGGAAGGAACAAACTTCTTTCATTCAGTCTTGTGTTTTGATGGAAAAATAATGGAGAAGGAATGGAAAACTTATGCTTCATTCATTAGAGAAGAAGGAAAAGGGGTGTAGGGAAGATTAGAAGGAAGGAACAAGCTTCTTTCATTTAGTAGCGATGAGATAAGGAGAAAAATGATAATAAAATGGATGAGTCATACTTCCTTTTTCATAACTTTTCATCCTTCAAATATGGATGAAATGTGAAAACTGTTTAAATGCGAGATGCGAAAGTTTTTAGTTAATTTTAATTGTGATTAAATCCTTTAATGACCTAAATGAGATTAATTACCCAATTTATGATTGATTAAATTATCTGATCAATTAACCATCCACAACACAAATATAAGTACTATAAAGTAAAGCAAGTAGGGTTAGAGAGATTGCACTAGTATTTTTTGTGAGGAAACCTCAGTTGATAAAATAGATCAGTTGTTTGTGTGGGAAAAGAACTTCGTGGACTATGCAGTCCAAAGTAAACCGATCCACAATGTTTGAAACAAAGTACACTGAACTTTGACTCTGGCTCACACCCTATCATTCTACCAAATACCAATAGTTGAAAATCCTCTGGCTTTACGACGTCCTGTCCAACAGCTCTTGACCTCAAGTTTATGCTTAATCTTTATGAAGGGTTGCAGGTAGATCAAAAAACACTTCTCAAATGCTTTAACCCTTTCAGAGTGCGATCACTTTTACTTCTGTTCTTTAAGATCTGAAATCAAAGTAGAAGTAGATCTGCTCTTATCGAAATCTCTGAATCATCAATTAAGCTCAAATTCTGATGAGATAGAGAACAACACTACTAAATCACTCATAAATATATATGTGTGCTCTCAAAAAAAAATTCAGAATAATCATATTTGATTTTTTGAATAATATCTCTCCAAAGGCTTTCTCAAAATATTAAACTGATGTTCCTTAAAGCCGTGCCTCAATAATGAATGAAAGAGGCATTATATAAAAGTTTTGAAAACCTAAACACACTTGTAAAACAAGTAGAATTCATGCATAGGTTAAGGAAAGAAGTCTGGACTAAAAAGGATTCAAATCAGAATAGGAAATCAAGTTACCAAAAACTGACTTAGACTCTTCAACTGGTACAAGATTGTGGCTACTGGTTTAAGAAAGGCAGAATGGTTTTCGATGCACTTTAGCTATCGGTTCAGAAGTGACAGTGACTAATTCCTCCTCGAACCATAGTTAGCTACCGATACAAGGATCTTCTTACCGGTTCCCAACAAACAGAAGAATATCCTTTGTTTCCTTCAACCTTCTAAAACTTCCTAAGTGTTCTCACTCACTCACATACCTTCCTAAAGCTTTGCTCTCACCATCTCGGGATGTTGTATACCTTGAACACTTGAACTTATTTAAATCTACATCCGATCTTTAATCTAGAAATCCTGAATTGAAAAATTACAACTCGATCGGACTTTTTTTGACAACAAAATTAGCCAATTACAAAATATATATCTCACAATCTCCCCTTTGGCAATTTCATGACAAAACCCTAAAAATAACATGTAATCTACCCAAGAAGAAACAACAAATTACAGTTATTGTTAAAGGAAATAACCTACGAAAATTTTCTTGAACCTTCAGCATATGTAGTAACCTATAATCTGCACATTATTTCAAACACAACTACCCATGAAACTTAATCAAGATTTTGGAATGTAATTCCTAAAATCTCTAACTCTGTTATTTAGAAGGCTATTATGGATACAAGAGAGGTACTGTTGCAGAATCTCACTTTTCAGATTGGGAGTGGTCAAGTGATTAGGTTGTTTCAAGACCATTGGTGTGAGGGATTAATAGTTGCACAAAAATTTGGTCATAGACTTGCTAGAAGGTTACCATTTCATAGAGAAGCTTTGTTACATTCTCTTATTCAGACCGGAGGATGGAATATTACTGTATTACAGGATGAAATTTTCACTCCTTTTAGAAATTTTCTGCATACAGTTCCAATTTCCGCTAAACCAGATAAATTTTTATGGGATAGGGGTGATTTCTCCTTTAAGAGAGCATATGAATGTTGTAAAAGTTCTAAAGTTGAAGTGCAGTGGCATAAAATGGTTTGGGGCAAGGCCAGGCCTCAGTGGTCTCTAATAGTAGTGCATGCAAAATAAGCTCCCTACAATGCTGAATTTGCATAAATGAAAGATTACATTGGTTGCCAGATATGCTCTTTGTTTACATGATCTGGACACTATGGATCATACTTTCATTACCTGTTCTTTTACTAAGAATTTTTGGCAATGGATTGGTGATGTTTTGAATTGGAATATGTCACTTTTTACAGAAATCTCTACAATTTGGGATCTTTTCATCTGGTGTGATAATCAATTTCAGAATTCAAAGGTGCTTTGAAGTTTATTTGCTGCTGCTTTGTGGGCTATATGGAAGGAAAGAAATACTAGATTTCATACTGGAGTTAGTACTTCTACTGTTTCAGTGGCTAGACAAATAATGTTTGAAGTTCTTATAGTTCAGAGTGCTAATCTTCAAGATATTGTCTGTTAACTTTCTGGTACTATCATGGCTGATTTGGTCGTTGATTTTGCTGTTGGAGGTTTTGATATTGCAGACAGTTCTTGGTAACTGTTTTATTTTGTTTTCTTTATGTTATGGTAATGCCACTAATCCAATGTTTTTGTATTATGGGAGTGGATAATTGTATCCAATCTTTCTTGAGAGTTTATTCTTTCTAAGGGGATGCCCTCTGTGCACCTGTATAGATTTTTTCTTTTCTTTTTATACAACCACAATTAAGAAAAAAAATAGCAATGCTAATAATGCCTGAATGCTTAATGCAATGATTAAAGTGTTCTCCCCCTCAATGCAAAAACATCTCTCCCCCTAAATGATATCAATCTCAACTCCCTCCTCTTTTTTGTCACAAATTAACAAGGGTCTAAAGGAAGAAATATTCTAGAAGTAGGAAGCAACCAACCATATAGAACTTGTAAACTGAATCCAATGAGAAAATAGACTCCATGAGACTATATGTATTGACACAAATAACCAAGATCAATTCAATGATGTTTCACAAACTTAGTAAGTGTAGTAAAATCACCTCCAAGTTCCAAACACATATGATTTGTAAACTATTTAGATTCCAGACTATAAATCAATGATGTCACGTATCCTTAAAAATCAAACAATCAACATCTGCAAAATACTTTTTTTTTTTTTTTCCCCTCTTTGTGCTCCATTTTTTTTTTTTGCACATTGGTGGCTTTCACGCTTATGGGCAGCCAGCACTTTCCCTTATTCCCATTTGTTTCGAGTCAAGGTAGCTTCGGACAATTTCCAAATGTAGCCTTTTTTTTTTTTTTTTGTTCTCCAAAACAACAAATATTTTTCATTCTTTTTCAAACACTTTTTATCCCAAGCTATTTTTCAATTTCTTTTATTTATTTTCACTCTTTTTGTTTTAAACACATAAATCAAGTTTAAATTTCAAGACAATGATCAATCATGTCAATATTTTCCTTGACCAAAACAATGACATAGAACACAAGTAAACGTATTATCAATGATCTATTTTCTGTACGAAACAAGTAAGCAAAACCAATTTCATCAATTTATAGCCATAGTATGTTTTATACAGATAATCTATGTGTCATTAAACTCCTTGTGTTTAACATACTCAATCAATATGGTTTACTTAACTTCCCAAAAGACATAATCTAGACACTCAAGATATACATGAAAATCCTTTCTAGACCATGTCTTTGCAATGCATCTAATCAAGGCAACAAACGCTTATAGATTTCCTAAGATGTGAAAACTTAGGTGCATCTAATGGCTTAGTGAGAATATAAGCCAAATTATGATCAGTATGCACTTTTTCCAAACACACGACATTTTATTCAACAAGTTCCCTAAGAAAGTGATGTTGAATGTCAATGTGCTTAGTCCTAGAATGCAAAACTGGATTATTTGAAATATTAATTGTACAAGTATTATCACAAAAGACAGCAATAGTTTCTTAATCAATTCCATAATCAAGAAGCATTTGTTTTATCTAAAGCAATTGTGCGTAACAACTTCCAACAGTAATGTACTCAACCTCATAAGATGATAAAGATATTTAATTTTGCTTTTT